GGAATTGCACAGGTTACGGGCCATTAAAGTATTAGTGTAGTCATGAAGTTTTTTTTTTAAATTGCAGCTGATAATTAAAAGTAACAAAATATACAATCCACACGCGGTGCGTCGCCTATCATTGTATTTCAGCACTTTCATGCTACGACAAAAAATGATAAATTCATTGTAAAACAGAATTTTTTAACAACCTAACATCAACCCCAATTAGAGAAACATGTTAATAATTTATTAATAGTGCAAGAAACTAAATACAGCACATACTTATAAATTTCCAACGAGCCAGGTGGCAATCGCCACCCACCCCCCCGTGCCAGTCCGCCCCTGTGTATAACTGACATTTATTACTTAATCACATGAGCAAAATGGTTATACAGCGTGTCCCGTCAAAATGCCCCGTCATAATAACCTCGCAAAATAGCTCCCCTCAAAATGGCCCGCATACAAAGCGACCCCTGCCACAATAACTTCGTCAATATAACCCACGTACGGTCATTGAAAAAAGTAATGATCCTCGGAGAAATTATCAACTTTATTTTTTTATATGGCCCGTAAGGAAAAGGACATAATGTATTGAGTAGCATTTTTATTACGAATAACAACGATAGAAAAAGTTGGAAACTGTTGGTTTCAACAGGATGGTGCACCGGCGCACAACGCCCTAACCGTGCGAGAATATATATATTTTGGCGAGGCCATTATAACGAGGTTAGTTTTCCGGGGCTATTCTGTGTGCGAATTGTTTTGTCAGGGCCATTTTGACCGGGCGGTAATGACGGGGACAGTTTCTAATGCATGGTAAGTGAGGTTCTTATGGATCTTACAAATTATCACTTTTATCACTGGTTACTAAGGACCGGTTCCAAGTGGAGCACTCTCCAGTGTTGGTGAGCTGTGGGAGAAGGGGGGGGGGTGGGAGGTTTCAGTGAGTCTGGGAAGCATTATTTTTTGTTTTGTTAGCATGTCAGAAATGTTCCCATCTTCACATTGTAAGACGGAGGAAGATGGCTAAATTAGTGGCGGTCTGGCGGAAAGGAAAACGATATAAGTGGCGAGTCGAGAAGAAATAGCATGCATATAGAAGTATATCCCATCCAGTTTCAATAATTATACATTTTTATAGAAGCCTACATTTATGGGTCAGTGGTAAGAGCATTGGGTTATAAATCCGGAGGTCGGGTGTTCGAACCTGGGTTGAGACGAATTTTTCATCTGTGGCGGAGATGGAAATTACCTTAGACCAGTTCCGAGCATTCTACCGGCTACTCCGAATTAGGTTTTCCTGCAGTTTTCCTAATTCGTAAGGTAAATACCGGAGTAGTATAGACCATCTTAAGACCTTCTGCAGAGGCACCTCTAAATAGCATTATGCGGGTCACTCTGTAATTGGGCGCATGCCTGTTGAGGGCCCAAAACAAGAGAGGGATAATAAAATAATAAAAAAAAAATAAAATAAAAAATATATAACGATTTGTCTATTGCGAGTGCTGTAATTTTTGTGGTACATCGAATATTATAGTTGCGACGAACTTTCGGTAGTCCACGCAAATCGGTGGGTTGAAAATTAATCAGGCGAATTGGTGGGAACCAGGGTGGGAACGAAAATAAAACTAATCTTTCAAAATAAATTATTATTGTCTTAAATTTAATCGTATGTCATTTGGTTTAAACCTTCGGTTGCAGGCGGAGTCGGTGCCGCAACCGAGGAATTCTCACACCTCGCTTCTGGTCAAGGACGATTGGTTCCGGTCGCGGAAATTCGGAAGTCACAGGTAAATCAGTTGGAGAAAACGGTCAACTCTATGACCTTACGGGAAACGATTGTCAGGCGCTGGCGAATAATCTAAAACAGAACACACGGCGAAGCAACATTTTCCCAAAACCATAACGGAAGCAAGAATTCCTCCCCTCGAAATCACGTTCTTCCCTTTTATAAAATTATGCAAATTTCTGGCTGGGGTTCCCAAACAGCACGGCGAACTCGGATGATAATCTTCTTTGTCATCTCAAAAATCTGGAAAACAGCTTAAAATTCATGTCAATTAAGCGCGCTTCATTTGACACCAAACCAATGTGAACCTGAGTGATATAGGCCCTTCGATTTCATGAGGTTAAACCCTTAGTTAGTTTTAAAATTTTGAATATTGACACGAAAAGTGGAACTTCTTTAAAAACAATAATTATTCACCATTTACCGTCGGATAGCTCAAATATCTCTAAAAAAAACTTCTTTCGGGTACTTTGATTACTGTAGATTTTCCTTTTTCCTCTCTCAAATTTAACCACAACACAATAATAGTACGTTTTCCTTATACGTGCAATGTACATTTCAGTGAAATTTCATGATTCGGTCAGGAAATGCAGGAATTTACGGCATTATCTACAGACGGGAACACCAATGAAACCGACAAGTTGAACGTGGACGCTTTAGATGAAATTTATTGTGTTCCTTGCAGTTCCTTTACTAGTAAAACTACATAACTATATATTTAACACGTGCGCCTTTTGGGTACAAGTATTAAATTCAAGCTTAAGCCTTCTGCCTAGAATGACCAGTATTTGTATAGGAAATCATTCGTTAAACGTTGCTATTTTTTCTTACAACCTGAGAATGTCTCCTGTACCACTTGAAATTAAAAAACTCAAACCCAACTGAAGAGGCCCCGTTACATAAGAGAACCACAAGACCAACAATATCTTTACCTTTTGTCTTATAACGAAACCATCTGCCAATGCCCAAATTACTACTTTTCAATTTATTACAAAAGATGTTTCAAATTTTCATATTTATTATCTGCAGTTCAAAATATGAGAGGAAGTTCAATAATTATTTCAAACTAGGTACTCTCCGTGCGCATTGTGCAATGCTCCAATGGAAACCCTCGCACAAGCCAAAAAAACCTAATAACTCCACTTCTCAAGTATCTGCCAGACCGCGGTTGATTAGTCGCCTCTTACGACATGCAGTGTCTCTGCAGTAGGGCTATTCTTTCCCGGCCCTACACGGGTAAGATCATTCCGTCATCAAAAAAAGCGATACGAAATAGGATGTAGATTGTTTCCTGTCAAGTGACTCGCTAATTTCATAAAAAAAATGTAAGCTCATGGAAGACAGAAGAACGTATTTTTGTAAACACATTATAACAATGTTAGATACAAATGTGATCCCTGACCCAATTAATGTTACACCCAAAGGTGTCGTCGAAATTGTCGCTAATACCGTGCCTACTTTGATAAAGAAACTCAACCTTGATTGATGGAATATGATGTGGTTTCGGCAAAACGGAGCACCACCCCATCACCTATCAAATAGGATATTCCAGCTGCGTATTTTGGCCATCTCAAAAGCCCGCGGGAAAACAAAATGGTGCCTGGAATAAAGTGTTGAAAATTCTAACTATTGAAAAGATCTATCTTGGACCTAAGAAAGCTGCACGAAACCTTTTTTCCGCATGGCGCCAGAGCACGAACTTGAAATTTCATTCAGGAAGCTGCTGTGCCCAAGTTCTTTCCTACCATCACTCATTCGCTATAACAAATGGGCCAAGCTATAAAAGAATTTCATCATACACCAAGACGTAATTGTTATATTAAATAATGCAAGGTCGTCGGGTTACTGTTTTCTAATCTCATTATTATGCAACCGGTTTATAGCTAGGTATCATACGAACATATCTGAACCTTAAACGTACAATATCCATTATAAGCAAATTAATTTCACACATTTTTTTGCGTGCAATTATAAGTGTAAACAAAAAAATTGTTGCAATCTGATTTGGAATCGTTTCTATACGGAATGTGGGTTAATAACTGACAGCAATTCAATTACTGCCTGCGAATATTATGTAGTAACCTTTATCGTAATTTTATTCGTCATAAATAAATAAAAAAAGTAGTACCTATGCGGATGTATGTAATTCATTTTATTCGTGGAAGTTTTGCATATTTACAGGGAAATTAATACTTTTTTCGTCAGTTTTTTTTAAACTCTATGGCGGGCCATTGTTGCTGGTTAGGTATTGGTTACTTGATTAAATGCTAGATTCACGTTCATCAAAGGGCATAATATGTTAATATCTTGAAGCGATGATTTAGTTACGTATGATTTACACCATATAAATAACCTGGATTCTATTGCTTTTTTAACACCCGAGCGTTAGTAAAGTTTGATTACTGGAACATTTTTATTATTTGCCTAAAAAACAAATGAACTAGGGTTTTTGTCCCGGAGAAGGTTTCCCTGACATCGTCGCACAAAATTATGAGTTTTTATTCAATTTCCTTTCCCATTTGTGTATAAAAAAAACCGCCAGTTCTAACACTGATTGCTACCCAGATTCGGAAGTGCCGCGAAACATCCGTCGTTTTGACATGAGAGTAGCAGTGGCTCTGCTCGATAGTATGGGGTAACTCGCTTCTCTATTTCTGCCGCTAAGTAATGCAGGTGTTGTTATTACGGAAAAAAATAATTACAGTGATTTGTTTTTATTTTTTCCTTACGTCCACCTTGTTAGTAAAAGATCGTGAGCTGGTACAAATAACTCCCGACCAATTTTTTTAGTAATTGTAGTAATGCAGCACTGTCTGTGTGGCTGCCTACATGGTATTCTCTTCCATTGATTGCATCATGCTATGTAAACATACTTAGGGATGACGTCATAACATCGATGACGTACGCGCAAACTTAGGAATACCCTGCTATACATACGTTCTATGGACATTTTACTAGGAACTGACATACATTGATTCAAAATCACGATTGCGCAAATCATTAAAAATCCGAATTTCCTAAATAATGGCTTTTTCAATTACGTTTTTTTTGTCCGTAGCGGGTGATATCTGTCCTAGTCACAGCCATTTTTTTCATGTACTGATCCTGTTAGAACAACAGCAACAAAGCACGTAACTGGATATAGTAGGCCATCCAAAGGATGAAAGTTACTCAAAAGTATTTCTGGGGGATTTTTTTTTAATTCAGGAAAATATTGATTAGGCCTGGGTTGGTATGGTTGTATATTATGCACAAAATGAAGAATTGATCAATATATTTAGAACAAAAGATCAGCCTGTATATTCTTACAAGAGGTAACCATGATGACCCCAATGACTGGCGTATCCTAAATGTCCGTGCGCTACGTATGGAGAAGCATGATGGACTGCAGGAACGTGGTGCGCAACGTGAGCAACATGGGCGAGTGGAGCAGCGTGTGCGACATGGGCAACGTGGTGGGCGACTGGAGCAGCGTGTGCGACGTGAGCGACGTGGTGGGCGACTGGAGCGGCGTGTGCGACGTGCGCGACGTGGTGGGCGACTGGAGCAGCGTGTGCAACGGCAACCGGGGCGGCGTGGGCAACGTGAGCGACGTGGTGGGCGATTGGAGCGGCGTGTGCAACGGCGACCGGGGCAGCGTGTGCAACGTGAGCGACGTGGTGAGCAACTGGAGCAGCGTGTGCAACGGCAACTGGAGCAACAACTTCGGTATGGGCAACGATCGGATTGCTGATGATGTCGGTCCTGTGGCTGTGGCTCACGGCAGCCGGTACGTGAGAAACGTGAGCTTCATGAACCAGGCTCGGCTTGGCGGCGACGAAAGCGAGAAGGGCGGCGAAAACTGCGAGCTTGAACATTTTGCTAGAATTGTCCACGAAAGAAGACTGATACCAAAAGGTGGTAACGCACGCAATTTATACGAAAATCGGTAGGAACCTTAGGGCCACGTGTTAATCTAATCTGACCTTCTATCTAAACTTTTGCAAAATTAACAAAATTAACAAGATCATAAATATCAACAAGGTAGTTAAAGTTGAAAGTAGTTTAACCTGATATGAACTTTTGTTCTTTGTCTAATAGTCGGAGATCAGTGACTAGGAAGTTTGGTTTGATTACAAAAAAAGACTATGCGTACTTTTCATTTAATTAAACAAGTGCCTATATAAAATAGTTACCATTTATGGTTGGGCGTAGATTATTTGCATATTTCAAAGTCAACCGGAAATGTGCGTACTATAAATTAGAGTGTAACAATTAGACTTGATTTGCATAAGATCTGTATAATTACCAAATTGGTATATTTCTTTTGCGTACGAAAACCATCGTACCTGTCTGTTACTGTTTTTCTGTAGAAGTGTCTCCAAAAGATGTATCGACGAACTGCTTTAAAGTAAAACAGCAAAAAAGTTTCGTACTAAATTCGACATCAACGTGACACTAACAACTAAAGTATAAGTCACTAGTAGAATGCCAGATTAAATTTAGAGGCAAAGGGAGGAAAAGAACTTTAGGGTTTGAAAGCTCTTTGGAATCTTGTGCTGTGGAAGTCCTGGAGAACTGGGAGCGTTAAAACCTATAAACCCTTAAAGTATTCCAATCCCCTTAGTCCCGAAGTTCTGAATATTTCAAATCCTAGGATGATTGCGATTTACGAAGACATACTGCTTTGAGGTATTGACACGGTGAAATCTGATAGTCTCAGTAGCCGTAAAATATTCAAGCTAAGGAAGTTTGAATTTCCTAGGGCTAAAAGATAGAATCTGCATTAGTTCCAACCAACCAATCAAAAAAACTAAAATATTTGACGCACTGCAGAAGTTTTATCTCCCCAGAGAACGTACCATTAATAAATAATGTCAAATTCTCCTATAAAAATTATGTAATTTGTATTGAAACGGCGAGGGCGTATATTTTCATGGGCATGCGGAAGGTTAATAGTGACATTTTTAAACGAAATCAATCACAAAATGGAAAATGAACAAAAGGTTTTGCCTTAAGGCGAGTAACTTTAGGCATTTTCCACGAATTGATCAAAAGAAAAAAGCTGGTGGGACAGTAGGTAAATGGAAACCGATATCGGCGGATGCTGGAACACTTTGTGTTACCGCAAAGCGTCAAAAGGATCTGAGGAATTTTTGGTTTCTACAAGACGGCGCAACATGCCATACGATGGATTTTTTGCGACAGAACTTTCCCGGACGTGTGATGTCGACTAGATCCCCGGATCTTACTTTTTTATATGGGGATTGTTGAAGAGTACAGTATACGCTTTTAAACGGAACATGAACTCAAACAAAACATTCGAGCCGAAATGGCAGCAATATCGCCCGAGACACTGACCAATGCTGTGGAAAGTGCCAGAAAAAAAAACTCACATCTGCCTTATCAATAATGGCGGTCACTTTTTCGTTCACAATCAAGCACTAACGAAGCACTAACGACTAGTACGTAAATATGTCGGTAGTGCTTCCAAAAGGGTATGAAGGCACGGAAAACTGGTACCTTGTACCTCAAAAAGGGGTGGACGTGCCGGGTTACCTTTTCGTGCACAATAAACCACTATTGAAGCACTAACGACTGGTACGTAATATTACGATAGCGCTTCCTTACCGTGCTAACTTCACGCACCCCTCCAAATGTACTACATAAAATCCAACGTCCCCAAAAAAATTAGGTAATATGAAAACCGCTAAAGGGTATGTTTTTATGGCACTATTTAATAAATTATGTCTAACAAAAATTCCAACAAGAATATCTATGGTAGGAATTAATAATTCAGCGAGCAGTATACAAAATAAATGCGGACTAATAATAAAATCGGGAATTAATTCGTTCATTACAACAATTTCTTGTTTAATTACGCGTAAGATTACAGGACGATTACCTGATAGATTAATAAACAATTCTTTAAAAATACCTATAATCAAAGCTAGCGGATCCAAATTATTACGAACCGCAAGATGTAGATTTATTAATCGGTGCATCTCTCTTTTGGCATTTATTGCGTGAAGGTTAAATATCTTTAGGTTTTAATAAACCTATACTTCTTTAGGATGGATTATTTCAGGATCAATAAATTCAAAAGAAAATTATCATACTATTGCGTGTAATGTAGTGAAGGTTTCAGATAACTTTATATTACAAGAACAACTTGCAAAATTTTGGGAGTTGGAATCGGTGCCCAATATTTGTGTATGGTCAAAAGAAGAAACATTGTGCGAAGATCATTTTAAATCTACGTAGGTACAAACGTGATTCTTCAGGACAATTTATTGTACGAATTCCCTTTAAGGATTGTACAACACAACATTTAGGAAACTCTAAAAATGATGCATTAAAAATGTTTCAATGTTTAGAAAGAAGGTTCAATAGAAATCTTAATCTAAAAAAGAAGTATAATGAATTTATGCAAGAATATATTCAATTAGGTCATATGACACTACTTACGTCGGAACCTTTTACTCCAAATTATTATTTGCCACATCATGGAATAATTCGTCAATCAAGTTTAACAACAAAATTGCGTGTCGTTTTTAACGCATCTGCACAAACTTCAACTGGTAAGTCACTAAATACAAATGGTTGGACCAACTATTCAATCAGATCTATTTTCAATTTTGATTCGTTTTCGCCAGAATTTATTCGTTATAAGTGCAGATATAGAAAAAATGATAAAGATAGGCAATTTCAATTAGTTTTCTGGAGAGAAGATCCAAAAGATAATATTAAAACTTATAAACTAAATACAATTACTTATGGAACAGCAAGTGCACCTTTTTTAGCAATTTTAGCAAGTTACAGCCATTCGAATTTTCTTTCGAAATTGGTTTCTAGTCTATGACTTTTGATTGAGAAGTCTGATCAAAAAAGTACGAAATGGGTTTGGATTCTACGCACCAAAATTAATAAGAAAAAATGTTTTTCCGAGAAATTTTGGTGCAGTCGATTTTTGGTAAAAAAGGAAGGTTGTACACTGCCTTTTTTTGAGACCCTCAAGGAAAATGTCTCAGATCGACTCGGAAAAAAATTTGTCTTATAGAATGTGGCCTGTAGAATCCATAATTTCAAACAGTTCCAAGATTGGGCTACTAGTTCAAAAGTTACAGCCCTTTGAATTTTCTTTCGAAATTGGTTTCTAGTCTATAACTTTTGATTGAGAAGTCTGATCGAAAAAGTACGAATTGTTTTGGATTCTACGCACCAAAATTAATAAGAAAAAGTGTTTTCCCGAGAAATTTTGGTGTAGTCGATTTTTGGTAAAAAGGAAGGTTATACACTGCCTTTTTTTGAGCCCCGAAAAAAAATTGTCTCAGATCGACCCGGAAAAAAAATTTTCTTATAGAATGTGGCTTGTAGAATCCATAATTTCAAACAGTTCCAAGATTGGGCTACTAGTTCAAAAGTTACAGCACTTTGAATTTTTTTTCGAAATTGGTTTCTAGTCTATAACTTTTGATTGAGAAGTCTGATCGAAAAAGTACGAATTGATTTGGATTCTACGCACCAAAATTAATAAGAAAAAGTGTTTTCCCGAGAAATTTTGGTGCAGTCGATTTTTGGTAAAAAAGGAAGGTTATAACCTGCCTTTTTTTGAGGGACGAAGAAAAAATTGTCTCAGATCGACCCGGAAAAAAAATTTTCTTATAGAATGAGGCCTGTAGAATCCATAATTTCAAACAGTTCCAAGATTGGGCTACTAGTTCAAAAGTTACAGCCATTTGAATTTTCTTTCGAAATTGGTTTCTAGTCTATAACTTTTGATTGAGAAGTCTGATCGAAAAAGTACGAATTGTTTTGGTTTCTACGCACCAAAATTAATAAGAAAAAGTGTTTTCCCGAGAAATTTTGGTGCAGTCGATTTTTGGTAAAAAAGGAAGGTTATACACTGCCTTTTTTTGAGGCCCGAAAAAAAAATTGTCTCAGATCGACCCGGAAAAAAATCGACCGGGAAAAAAGATTTTCTTATAGAATGTGGTCTGTAGAATCCATAATTTCAAACAGTTCCAAAATTGGGCGACTAGTTCAAAAGTTACAGCCCTTTGAATTTTCTTTCGAAATTGGTTTCTAGTCTATAACTTTTGATTGAGAAGTCTGATCGAAAAAGTACGAATTGTTTTGGATTCTACGCACCAAAATTAATAAGAAAAAGTGTTACCCCGAGAAATGTTGGTGTAGTCGATTTTTGGTAAAAAAGGAAGGTTATACACTGCCTTTTTTTGAGGCCCGAAAAAAAAATTGTCTCAGATCGATTTGCTCTTTAAAGGGTTGAGTTACAATCGCCTATGAATTTTTTTAGATTCTATCAATTTAATAGTTAATATGCGGTTAATTAGAGATTATATTATAATCAATAAATACTAAGACTAATTAGCTTTTTAATCAGAAACAGGAGTATTTTTTACAAAATCGCTTTTGATGCACAGCAAATGCCACTAAACCAACGAGTACGTTTTCCTCCTTGAATTTTTGGAAAGGATCCTTCGACGTTCACCAGAACTCCAAAACTGCCACTCATTGCCCAGCTTGGCTTAGCATCTACATAACATTTTCGATTTTTTTAAAGATGTTTATTTTTTACGATCAATAAATCAATTTACAAAGGCTCCATTAATTGAGAATCGGAATTTTTATTATAAAAGCTATGCCTTATTGTCCGATATACTTATGTAATTCAATATTTTGAGTTCTATTGTAGGTTAAACATACAATGCATACATAAAAATACTCTAGAAAAAGAAAGTAGGATGTCGGTGGCTTAGAATGCAAGTCTAGGAACGTACATGTCCAGGAAAAGGAAGTTCCGTAGAAGCATAATTTCGTTTTCATAAATATAGCTTACGTTGACTGGTTCACATTAACACTACACCAAGTGGGTTTGG